ATTCTAATTTGCTAATTTTAATTATTTAAATATTTATATGTTTTACAATTTTTATATTTATTGATATATATAAAGAAATAAAAAAATTATAGAGATAAAATGTTTGAGCCTATTAAAAAAATAAAATATATAAGAAATAAATTATAAGTGTATATACATATATATATGTGTGTATATACACTTATAATTTATTTTTTATATAATTTATTTTTTGAAGAGGCTCAAATATCTTATCTCTATAATTTTTTTATTTCTTTAATATAGCTTTGAGTCAAAATATAATAAATATCTTGATTAATATTTATTATAAAATCGAAATTTGCTCGATTTCACATTTACGAAATTTGGTAAGGTAAAATTTGAAAAATTATGCCTTGTATATAAATGACGTTACAAAATTAACGGGCAGGCAGTGCTAACAGATTTATTTCAAAGCAATTCCGCACTTGAAATTTCCGCGTTGAAAATTCCGGGAGACGACTGCCCCCTCCTCGCTCCTGTAGCTTTTCGCTCCAATCCTGGAATCCTTTGCAACCGAGTTGCCCAATGTAATATTGCGAATAACGAGGTTGCGAAAGCAAAAGTTATTAAGCGAATATAAAGCAAAAACAATGAAGGCTAAATAGTGATAAAGGCACAATACATGGTTGAAGAAAAATCAGGCTACAAGAGATCGGAATTCATTTCAAACACGTTCACACTCGTGCAATCCACCGGGAGATATTAAAACCACTAATTGCATCAATCAGACTAATTATTCAGTATCAGTTGCAGTGCCGGATCTACACATAAGCTAGATAAGCTACAGCTTAGGGGCCTCACATTATAAGGGGGCCTCTTTAGTATAGAAAAGATTTAAAAAAATGTATTTTTTGTTAATAAGAGGGGGCTTCCTTAAGATCATAGCTTAGGGGCCACAAAATCGTACATCCGGCTTTGATCAGTTGAACTAATTTTAAAATGAATTCCGACCCCTTGTAACCCGGCTTTTCTTCATTCAACTACACATTGTGTCTTTATCATTTAACTATTTAACCTTCATTGCCTTTGCTTTATGTTTGCTTAATAACTTTTGCTTTTGCAACCTCGTTATTCGCATATTACATTGGGCAACTCGGTTGCGAAGGATTCCAGGATGGAAGTGAAGAGCTGCAGGAGCGAGGAGAGGGGGCAGTCATCTCCTGGAATTTTCAACGCGGAAATATCAAGTGCGGAATTGCTTTGATGCGCGAAGAAGAAAAAGAGAGGAAGATGGTAGCGAAACATTTCGCGGCTTCAAAGGTTTCCGGTAATTTTAGATTAAATGTAATTTTCTATTTTACTTTTCGCCGACCTTCGTGGTCCGCGACGGGGTTGCGGACGAGAGGAAGGGGCGCAACGTCGGGGGTGAGTGCCGTGAGTGTACATGAGGCGGGCAATCTGAAATCCAATTTCACGCACTGCGGTTTTCGCGACTACCGTCGTCGACTATGTGTCCGGCCGCCTCCGCATTTTTTCAGAAAACTTCCTTGAACATGTTCCGCGGACGGGTGTCCAGGACGGGTGTCCAGGCTGATAGATCTCTCGAATCAGCGAAATATACCGACGACATCGCCGTCAACCGGCGAAATCTCTACAAAGACATTTTTTTCATTACTTTATTTATTTATTGAGTTTATTTATTGAGACAAATAAAAATAACGATTATTATCAAAATAATTATTTCTATTTAAGTAAATTAGAAGAAAAATTTTTTAAATTTGGGTTTATCAATTTGGATACAATTAAAAAATGTGAAATTTACAAACTCTTTATTTTTTACAGATCTAATTGGAAGAATTTTCAAGCTCCACGAGCTCTTCTGTGTATAAAAGTGATGACGGGTACATTGAAATAAAAAATGTATACTCAGAAATTTTAATTTAAATTCCGAGAGCAATTTCATATCGGAGTTTCGTGGTACGAGATTTCGTGTATCAAGAATAGCCACAATGCATATTCAACGCAGCTTGCCGTCGTCTTTAAATGGTCCGTAGTCTGATTAATAATAGCTTCCTGTCACGGCCAGTCAAGAAAAGTTATGGTAGCGCGTTATTATCCACTTTGTCGAGGCTCTAACGTTCTGTAATCTCTAAATAAAATTATTATAAGCTTAAAAAGTTTAATTTCAAAATTTTACATTGTTATATTATAAAATTATGTAACTGTTATTTAATACATTTCTTAATTGTTCGTAAATTTAGAAAAAAAATTGTAATTTTTGTAAGTAGAAATAAACGAGTTTCTTGAATTTCATGCAAGAAAGATAGATGCAAGATTGAATAATTTATTGTGAAAGAAAAATGTAAAAATTCACTCTAAAAACATTTATGGAATAAATTACATGCATATACGTGATTTATCAACTTTTTTCTGACTCACAGAAGTTTTGTTTTAATGTAAAAAAAAACTATAATTAGTTAATTTTTGTGAACGTGGAAAAGTGAATAACTATCAGAATTGCAGATCAAATAAATCAATCCTAAAGTTGGCTTTAAAATTGACACTTCAATAGCAGTAAGACTCGTACGCGGGCAGATTACTCCTCCGAGAGCTACAATGGTCGATTGTCGACATTCTGAGACATGACTTCGTCTGGAAAGGCGACGACGTGCGACTCGTGCCACGTACGCGGAGCGCGTCTGTTTAATTTATCCGATGAGTCGTGTTAAAGCCTGAGTAATAATGCAACAAGCGACTCATGCAATAGCACGGCTCACTCTCGGATAACGAGGACGTTAGATGTTCTGAAGTCTTCTGATTGAACAGCCGCAACGACGTCGACGAGAAGGTTACGTTTTCACAGTCGTATTAAAGCACGCCGACCTAATCCATCGTTCCCGTTTCCTCCTTATATCCGCTCTTCGAATTAATCCACCGCTTCGTAGCGGATTCAGAACTTGCTATGGGTTTGCGAAATCGATAAGCCACGCTGCGTTTTCGCGATTACTCTCGGCGCGCCTCAATCTACTTACATAATTGATACGCGCGACGAAGAGGCAACTAGATTTATCAAGTTAGAAGTAATTAGTGCAGACAGTTTGCGTCTCAAAATTTTATAGCAAAGGTGTTCAAACGTTTTAGTATAAAACGCGTAATATAATAATAAGGAAAATGATCTTTCTAAGCGCAGAAAACGATATCTCTGACAGTTTCATTACTCGCGCTTATCAGTATTTAATAATATATTCCTATCTTTCATCTATATTTATTTGTATATGCTTATTTTCTTCATTTACATGCTTGAGTCTCTGCTAAAGTTTTAAAAGATCCACCAGACGTGCCTTATAAAGCGTCGAGGATGGCTATCGTGATCACTTTAAGAAAAAGATACATAAAAGAATGAGTATAAAGAGGCTGCTGGCGTTATTGGAACTTAGATTATGTAATAAAGCGCATGGAAACGGCGGTGGAAATGATTTAAATTCGTATAATCAGAACTGCAATTCTTTTTCTGTTCCTTCCATGATAAGTTGACCACTCCATTTTGCCGTTTCTTTATCACTTGATCACTTTAGACCACCATCTATTTTATCTCACTATCAATTTCAAATCTTATCCCATAGCAAAGACTGATTTCGATATTTAATTAGCGACTTATTTCCTGTTGGATTTTATAATCTTTTTGCTCTTTTTTATAAACCTTAAGCAAGATGTGAATTATTTCAAAGTTCTTTCGGTAACTTTACTGAAAGAACTCTAAATCAGCTTAGATGTGCGGGCGAAATTATAAGTTAGACTTATCGCAAAGCCCGTTTTCGAGGTTAAAAATTTAATTAACAGCTTACCTTTGATTGACCTTTTGCCACTTTTTAAACATTAATAAGCTTTTAGAAACCTAAAATAAGATATATATTGATCTGTATAAGACTTTTTTTAATATCTTAATACTGTCAAAGTCACAGATGTACGTAAAAAAAATTATACAATCAATTTATTGAAGTTCGATCGATACTCGCGAAATTAGCTTGCTTACTTTTATTTTTAAAATAATAATAATCTTCTATAAACCTCAAATAAAGCAAGTAAATTGTTTTAGAATTTTTTTTTCAGTCCTTTAACATCGTTAAAATTGACCTACATGTGCAGAACAAATTATAGAGTCGACCTATTGAAACTTGGAAACTCAATTTTTGTTTATTAATTAGCGATTTACTTTTGATGGACTTTTATAATTGCTTAAACATTATTAATTTTCAAGAGGGTTTAAAAAGTATGTATAAATCGTTAAAAAACTTTTTCCATGTTTCCAACACTGTCAAAGTCAGTTCAGAGATATGGCAGTGATTACAGATTATGCTTATCAAAAGTCGAAAATTCGTCACTTAGTATTTAATTCATAGCTCACTTCCACTTAATGTTTTTTTTAAATATTAATAATTTTTTAGAAAAATAAAATTTTAAAAAATTGCGAAAGATTACCGGAATCGGCAAGAGAATATTTGTTATAAAAAAACTGATAATTGTGGCCATTTGTTGTCCACAAATAGGCGAAAACGATCGGTATTAGGAGAATAGATAACAGGATCATAGGAACGACAAGAGGTGGCAGAAATAATAAGAATTAAAATATTCTTAAAAAATTTATATATCTAACTTGATATTTTTTTAGATAATTATTAATGTTTCAAAAATATAAAACTAGTCGAAAATAGGCCGCAAATTAAATATCAAGTATCAATTGCCAAATTCTGATTTGTTGTAAAATTCTTTTTTTTTTTTTGTTTTCAAAAATTTTTATTTATCTTTAAAAAAATTATAAAATTGTGAACGCTTCTAAAAAACTAAGCTTTAATTTTGTATCTATATCGCCGAATAAATAATTATAAATTTATAGTAAAAAGTTTAAATTTCGATTATTCATTAAAAATTTAGAAATAAAATAATGTCAATATTACCATAATGCGCCGACGATTATACTAACTGTCGTTATTGCCGTTGTTGCTATTGTTGTTGCGTGGGATAGTTGATCTTCTGTTCGTTTTTCTGATTCGGTGAATCTTGCTTTTCTTCGTCATTCTTTTTCGGCAGTGCCAGTAATGCTTTCAGCAAACCTTGGACAAAGCATTATTACGTTTTTCGTTTTCTGATTTTATATTTTCAGAAAATTTGACTTTATATTTTCAGAAAATTATATTTTTAGAATTTTTCAGAATAAATTGCAAAGAGAATAAGAAGCATAAGAAGCATACTTGAAAAAAATTGTTAACATACCCAGGTAGCACATGTGTGTGTTCGTTTCACATACGTTTTCTAAATTCATACACATATATGAATACATTGGATACGTTTAGGAAACATATATGAAACGAACACGTGCCAGCTGGGTAATATCTTATACAAAAGATACCTTATAAATATTTGTTATAAAAATAATATTTTTTAAATTCTTGAAATATGCATAATAAAATATAAAATCATATAAATGCGTAAATTTACATATAAATACTTAAATAAATGTAAATGTTATTTTTACAAAACAAACATGAGAAAAATAAATAAAAATCAAGCGTAATTATGAAGCGCACAACTTGTATAATTTATTGATTAAAAGACTGAACGTTTCGATTTTAGTTCGAGTTTTTTTCAATGAAATATCATGTAAATCGAGAAGGACGTCAGCTGAAGAAAATATTCAAAGTCCATAGAAAGATAAAATAGCAAAACAGCGGTTTTGAAATGCGGTTCATGATTTTCATTCTTGAAAAGAATGCAAACTAGAGCCGAAAACATTCTATTACTTGATCAATAAATTATATATGTTTTGCGCTCCATCAATCTCGCTTGATAAATATTTCAGCTTTCTGTTTAAGAATTTATACGTCGTGACAGAGAAAAAGAACATCGTATAAAGGATTAAATTATTGAACCTACTCTTCATCCATTCGGTTATTTAATACGCGAGATATGTTACAATTATACAGTTATTAGCGATTAGTTGGTTAAATTATTAATTGATAATTGAAGTCAGTTTATTCACCAATGCTTTCTCCCTTGAACGAGGTTCCTAAAAAGAAGAAATAAGACCTTAGCGGGCGGAAAACGAATTTCAAGCCAGAACTGTAAACGATCAATCTCTCACTCACCGTTACCGCGGTACTTATTCAGCTGCTGATACACCTGCTTCATCCGCTCGATATTAATGCGCGAATTCTTGTTGTGGTTCACCATCGGCAGTGAGTACTCTTTGCCGATGATACATTTGGCCGCGTGCTGTATGTTGAGCGGCGCATTCCATGGCTCGTGAATATATCTGGCCGGGAAATTCTTCAGCACTGGCAGGTAGCGTCTGATCGTGACAGTAAGATTAATTTTACCTTCAATATTAATCATTCAGACAGAATGTTATTTACAAATTTTTGGAAAGAAGTTAACGAAATGCACATTGACAGCGCTAAAGCGAAAGGAAAAAAGGACGATCGTGCAGACAAGTAGATATCAATACAAACAGTGGCTTATTTTAAAATAAACAGTTTGAGTAAACTAAATAAACAGATGAATAAACAGATTGCGAAGAACGTCATAACATTAATATGGAGGCATTAATTTAATATCACTGCTCAATGTAATATATATAATAATGTTAATTGCGAAAGATTGACGTCATTCGCTTACTCGCACTTTTATCAAACACTAGATAATGTGATTATTTTATAAAAACTTCGTAACGATTCTCGGTAATCGAATGTCGTCGCCAACAATTTGCTACGGTAATGTTTTTGCACGATTAAGTTTTAATAGAGCTCTAAGCTGTTTAATATTCCATCTATCTCGCAGTGAATTCTGCTTCGCTCGAATTAACATGAGATAGAAATTAAGATCAATTAAGATTAAAATTTCTCCAGCCATTGCGTGGACATTAATCACAGTTTTATTAACACCGTGAATGCGACGTACATGTTATTTAAAAAAAAACGCTAATATACACCGTCCATCGAAATTTTCTAAATCTGTCTGTTTGTTCGCTTTTAAATTCAAAGAAAAAAAATCATTTTTACTTGATATAATCGCCATTCGGATCCGCCTTTCTGCCGAATCGCACAGGACAGTAACAGTGGAAAAATTGTTGAAAGAACGAACTGCACGAAAGCCACATCCACATCCCGGCATTGACAGACCAATCGGCGTCTAAAAGAAGCTCGTCAAATACCTGGAAGAAAAAGTAATAAAACTACTGAAATATCAGAATGTCTATTATTTATTATAATTTATTAACATTTTATAGATTTCTGCATATCATTATAAATAGCTATTGCTTCAAATAATTTTGACTCAGTTTTGGCAAAAAATGTTAAATAGACTTATTTGCATTGATCATGTTTTAGTGATTAATTAATTTATTCTCCAGCAACTCTAATCTATTTATGTATTCCTTTTTTTTTTCACATCAAACTCGAGACATGTGGGGGAAGCGCTTCGTGCACTTCTGAGACAAATATTTTACTACGAGAAGTAATCTTGGAGAAAGAAGTTTCGAAATAAAAGCAAATAGATAAAAGAGCAGTTCCGGAAGGCCAAGTACGCCAGTGACAGTTCACCTTCATTCCTTCTTCCCATGAGATCCAAAGATCTCCTCTGGTTAAAAAGCAAGCCACCGCGTGTCTAGCCAGATGATGTATCCAACCTTCTTCCCGCAATTGAGTCATGATCGCATCGATCCATGGATATCCTGTCTGGCCCTGGCGCAAAAAGATAGATTTGTTACCGAAGTCAAGCAAGAAGCTTTTGCGTCGATTTCGACAGATTTGCTTTTTTCGCTCGGATTGTAATTTTTGCCTTTTTGCGCAAAAGTTCACTTACGTTCGCCCACTTGGCGAGCGCCTCCACGTTTTTGTCCCACGGTATCTGCACGCAAATCGGATTACCCTGCATCCGATCGAAATTCGGGTTCTTTGTCGCGGCGCAGTAGAAGAATTCGCGCCACAGAAGCTGTCCGTGCAACGACAGCGGTGGCATAGCTTTTTTTATCTGGGAAAAGAATTATGAAAAATTATCCGGAGCAATCATTCTTCATCAATCATAATTATTCTAGATGTATTACTTCAAACATTTTAATTAATAATTCGCTTCATTGTATGAATATAAAGACAAATAAAACAATGTAATCATCTGTAGCGTTCAAAGTCGCGAAGTAGCGAAGGGTCGCAAGCGGCGAAAACACAAGAATCTAAACGATTCCGAAGAGGACTCGAAGCCAGAATCGCAATAATTTATTACAAAGGTCCAAAGAACGATAAATTCGCTAGCTCCAACAACAGCGGCTTGGCTGCACATTCGTCTTTCGACTCGGAAATTATTTCCGTAATATATCCCGCGCTCGATATCGCGGCGCATACGATTCTCACCTTCTTGTACAGATCGGTGAGCTGGTAATAAAACAGCCGTGTGCTGAGACAACCGAATCGCAGATAAGGCGAAAGCCCGGTCTGGCTCGGCAGTAAAGATTGCGGAGTCATTTTCGGCCTGCCAAAGCTCGCCACCCACGCCTTCCTTTCGAGATGACGTTCGAGCCGCGCCAGGGCTTCGCTCTCGCCGCCAACCCACACCGGCGGCAGCAAACCTTCCGTGTCGAAACCTGCAAGCCGGAAGAAATCAAATAATCAGAAGAAAATTTTCAACGAACGAACGTTTTACATTCGTAATTCGAGGTTGAAAAAATCACAGAATCCAATTCCGGATTTCAATTTTATCGCGCGGGTGCCGACCTCGTAAACACTCTTCAACGTCGAGACGGAGCAAATCCGTAGAACTTGATTCAATTCAATTCAATATTATCGTATTAGAACACGCTGTAGCAAGATAAATTTACATGATTGCTCCCTTGCGGACAATGCATTAATGTTGCAGCAGCTAATCTGCCGCGAACACATTTTCCACGGCGAATGCAATGTAATCACGTTAATTTGGCGCTACGTGACGCAAAATATTCTATTGGAAATACATCACGCTATTGTTGGAACAATGACCTCTGGCCAAATTTCTCATTTGCGCAGCGCGATGACGCTCGATTAGAACGTTATTTCGTTGATTAACGTTATTGCGTAATGCGCTTCGAATAGAATATTCCGCGAGCTGTAGATTAACGCAATAGTCGAATTTGTCATCAAACGGATAATATAAAATTAATTGTGAAATATTACAAATTTAGAAATATTCGATTCTTTTCGCACCGAGTTCATCGAGCGTGGGAACGCCGTAATGATCGTCGTGATCATCTTTGAGGGGAGTGTAAGCGCTGCCAATGCAGGCGGCTGTTACTGTGGACACAGGTGGCTTCGGTGGGTCCATACTGGCGACAACATTTTGAAACTGATGGTAGGTCAGCGGCGATTTTCCACTATTTCTTTCTATAATTCTGAAATAACAAAAAGAGATTGAAAGATAACAACGGCAAAGTATTATTTATTTTTTTAAATGTCAACATTTTATTTCTTATCGCAAGTATCTTGTAATCTTTCAATTCAATTTTAATTGGAACTTTGAATAAATTTCCACTATTTATTAACGTCGAGTAATTCGACATTTCGAAATTAGATCCTACAAGCAAGATATGATCGCGCTTCAGAACGAAAAATCGAGCGATGTGGACCAGGTATTTCAGACTCACTCGTCCAGCTTGTAGAGAGTGTGCGAGACCCTCTGGACCACCGAAATACCGAGCTCCTTACAGAGCGCCGAGATATTGTGGTCTCGCACACGACCGAACGGCTCCGGGTCCTCTTCGAATGTCAGATTCGTCGTGCCCCATTCCTTGAACAACTTGGGCAGCGCGTCGGCCGGCTGACCGCGGATTACGAACAATCGAGAATTCAATTTTCTCAGAGAGCAATCTAGATCTTCGAGACACTGCAGCAAGAATCTATTGGACAAATAAAATGCGTTGAATAAATTCATCAAATGTAGGAGAAAATTGTATGCATTATTCATACGTGGATTAATTCTTATCACAAAGTCTTTGATTATATCTTTAATCAATTCAGTGATACAAAAAAAAAAAAAAAAGTCAAAAGCCGCCGATGAAAAATAATAAAATCAACAAGCAAAGAAACTAACATACAATTAAGTTTCTTTCTTTGCGCCAAGCACGACTGCCAAGGCAGCCTGACACGCGCAGCGCACTGTCAAAGGACAATAAATTTATCTCGCTTCGATTCGCTTTCGTTTCGGAATTTATATTATCGAATTACTCCCTTCTCAATATTTGCTAACCCCCGTCTCATTTTCCAAATTAAGTCTCACCATTCCGTGCCTTTCTTCGTGTTCCTAAATCTTATCACTCCATTTATCTACTTTCCCCCCTTTCCTCAAATATTCCGGCATTCTTTCTTGCTTAATCCATTCCACCTTTCTTCAATCCATACCACCTGTTGTACCTTCGATCCTCGCATCTTGCGTCTTCTCTGTTACCTCCGACTTACCCGCTCACTTCTCCTCAGTTTCTCGAACGCTACCCTCTCACTCTGTTACCGGCCTAGCAAAGGCTGCTATCGGCCCAATCCTTCCACCATTTCCATCCCCCTCTCAGTTACTCTTCAACAACTTCCTTCCCTCTCGCAACCACTTTTGACCTTCTCCGTACACACTCTTATCAACGCACGTTCCTACCCTTCTGTCGATCTCTCTTTAAATCTCCCACTCGCTCTCCCCTTCGACAATTTCGATTTTTTTCCTCCCCCCGAAGTCTTGTACGAAGGAATTTTATTGTACAGATAACGCGGTAAGATAAGATGATGCGTTTGATGCGTCAAAAGATTATTACACACATATCAGATGCGGATCTCGCTTGCGGATAATTCCGCGGACATTCACCTCCATTTATTGATGCCGACATTGGTACTTCCGGCGAACCAGGGATCCAACACGAAAACGCATCGGAAAGTGGACGCTCCTGCGAGACCTTCCCTAAGTGAGGGATTATCGTGCAGCCGGAGACCCTTGCGGAACCAGTGAACCGTGTGCTTCCCACCGTCGCTCCGAACCCCCGTTGTCACCTCCTGGTCCATTTCATTGTTACTACTTCCGGTCATGTTTTCTCAGTACACTCTGCAATGTATATATATTTCTAATTAATTGACTCGGCAAATGGAAGTAATTATTGTTTCATTTGCAGTGAAAGAAAAACAGAGAGCGGGAAAAAAGTGTAATTTATTAAGTGCTCCGGAGAAAATCCTCTCGAGCGTAAGCAAGCAAAGAAAGAGAAATAGAGTTGCTGTAAAAAAATATTACCGTAGATTTGCGAGATATAAAATTGTTAATATAATTATTCAACTTTTTTTTTTAATATCCGTGGACAACGTTATATGTAGATAACGCGCAAGAAGTTTTCCCCGTAATATGCAGCCGTCAAAGTGTCAATATTCAATAATTTGACATAAAGCTCTTTTAAAATAATTATTTAACATTATTTATAATGCAATAAATTTTTATTAGCTGATTGGCTTCAGCAGATTGAATTCAACTCAATCTGCTGAAGATTTTTTGAATTTTTATCACACATTGATTTCTGATATTTACAACTTTCGAAAAGTATCTCGCTCCTGGGAAGCTTTAAGCTTAAAGAGGCGAGTTCACTTGACTTTCTGTACATTTCCTCTCGGTTACACGGCAAATCAATGCCGAAAAGCGCACATCTTAAATTTCTTTCTGCTATCAATGTCGGAAGGAGAGCTCGGCACTCTCGAAGCCCGAGAAAATACAGCGTGGCGCGGATCAATTCCCGTGTGAGAGCCCTTACAAATGTACCTTCCGCCGCTCTCTCGTCCGTCTGAAACGTATGCTAAAAGATCCGCCTAACTATCTTTTGTTTCGCTGCTTAGCCTGAGAAACAAAATGTGATGTAGTAATCTTCAGAAAATTTCCACTTCGATTTTCGGCGAATATTGCATTACGCGAAAAATATGATTTTCACAAATATCGCCGGATTTTTCCGTTTCAGAATATCCTCTCAAAGGAACCATATCTTTATTCAATAATCCAATTTAATGCTTCAACATCCGCGGAGACAAGAACTATTATTAGCGTTTCAAAGACGATCTATTCTCGATCTCTATCGAAGAATTATATATTTTCTCCGTTAATCTATTTATAGAATCAATATATAAATATACAATTTTAAATGATTTCTTTAAAGGATTTTTTGCAATCTTTATTTTTGAATAATAAGGAATTTCTTCTCCTTTAAGATAAAGATAAGAGTCATCTTTTCGATTGATCGGTGATAATTATATATTTCTCAAGATAATAAGAAATGCATAAAACTCTATTTTCGTAATAATCTCAGTTTTAGTTGTATTATTCAGAGATTTTTATAACTTATTTTTTAACAAATTCTTTTAATATTAAATTTTACTCATATGGCAACATAAAACGTAAAATAAAGAAACTAGTTCAACATGTTTTTATTAATGCACGAGAACTTATACGATGTCGTGAACTCTGTTGTAAGTAAAATTAACGTATTCATTGTATGTAAGTGCACGTGTACATTATTCTTGAATCAATATTTAAGACATATCGCGCTCGATGTATAAGGCTGCATAAAAACTTGAAGATTTGGCAAGTTTCCACGGAATAAGAGTTTCTTTTTCGCAAGTCCTGACTTGAAAAATTTCAACCAGAGTACGGAAAGATACAGAAGATACAGGAATTTATCAGATAATCATTGATTTAAACGTCAAACATATTTCGGACCTCTAAAGAACCTCATATCGAAAAAGGTTCTATTTCTCAAAATACCAGAAGACTGGTGATCAGCAAAGAGATGGCGCGCAAACTGAGGTCCGAAGAATTGTGACTTTACGACGGGCAGTTTGGCGGAAATCAATTTCTTCCGACGGATTTCAAAATTCGTCCATTCTCCGTAGAAACATAAAGTGTCACAATTGTAACTTTATTTGTACAGGCTGCCGCGCTCGTCGCGTTTCTCCTCCCCCGCGTATCCCGCGAGATCGGAAGCAGTTCGCCCTCTCTGCAATACGGTGGTCGTAGTTAATTTCCCTGGCAACTGCGGAAGGGGGAACACAATATAATTACGTGTGCATTAATTTTACTCCACAGGCATGTTTTACCCGGTTGTACAAGCACTGTAACTAACGGGCCACGGTAAAAGCACAGTCATGTTCTCAGCAAGCACGATGTGTTGAAAATTAAAACCCAGCGGCAAGCTCTCGTCGTTGGAAAAATAATGATGTACTCAATGATACGAGTATTTTGATATTTTTCTCTCATAATATTGTCGGGTGGATAAAGATTCAACAATTTCTTATTTCGGAGCAAGAACCGCCCGGGCAAAAGAATGTTATTAAGCCCTTGAAATTTCTTCGTAGAAGAAAGCGGAGACAAATGGACCTAAACGCTGATCACGCACATTGTTGCATCAATGTGAATTCCGTGTGTTATCGTTTTCCTGCAGCAAAACAGCACGGAAGATTGGTTTTCGGACGTACGAGAGCTACGTTCCAGTCTACGTTGTTTACGCGTCGCCGGGATCAAGGCGCGATTTGTAAGAATTTACGAAAACACTTACATAGAGTGACCGTAAAGGCGCTAATTACATGTACATCTGCGTTAACGTGCACGTCGATGTAACGTATTGTAATTATCCCATTTACTCCGAATAACATTTTCCGAGAAATTCCTCAAAAAAGAGCACGCCGAACGCTAAAATCGATACGTGCCGCGCTTCGAACGTGTTTGCAAATGATGCTGCCTATTTATGTGGTATCAAAGCAGCTTTCCGTGGAAACTATTTACGTTAGAGAAGTCACATAAGATAGAAAGTTTAATCCCGAAACACGAACGGAACCAGAGCGGAGAAGCTCATTTCACAAATCGCGTTGCAGGTTTAATTTCGACTCTCCAGCTGGAGGCCCAGTGCCTCCTTTCTCACAGATGTCATTAAAATGAATTCAATTGTTATACCATCTTTAAAAAAAGCATCACTCTCAATATTTGCAGTGGAAAAAAAAACGAACTTTACCGCTGCACTTGTGCCATTGTCGCGTGTGTGTATCGCCAACACCGTGGATCAAGGATCGAGACCGAGACGGACGCAGGAAGCTCTATCTCTTTCTAAAATATCCTCGATGACTATCGCGAGAATCTACTTCAGCGATAAACGCGCAGCTTCGCAATAGCGCTTGTACCATTGTGATCCCCGGCGTCACTTATCGCGCTGAAGACAGACTGACGGAGCCAGCAGATGCGAAGCTCGGAGAGTGGAACGAAGAAGACGATAGGAAGACACTTTGGAGCGGTCTCTCGTGGATTTAAAAGAGTTAATTATGTGAGTCAATACTATGAATACAAGCGCGACTTTTATAAACAAAGAATGAAAACTGCGTCGTTGCGACGCAAATGCGCGTGCTGTAATCATTCTTTCCTCGGCTTGGATTATGATGTAAGAGGGGCAAATCTCGACATTCGCGATAATGTCGACGGCGCACACAGCTTTTCTGCTAACCAAAGCAGAGAATTCCGGGTAGAAATTCAAGACGTCCGGTAAAATACAGACATACAGCTGCAACGGCTGAAGAAATGTATTTATTTTATCTGCGCGAGACGCAACATATATGTCCGAATTCTGAACATGAGAGAAAAAATATAGAAAAATTGATAGTCTTCTAAATTTCATATTTTGATTTACGCTAAATGTCATAATGTACACATGCACAAAACGCAAACTATGATATTGATTTTATTTTTAACAATACTATTAAGATATTAAAATAAAAAATATATTTGAAGTTTATTGAACAATTTTAAATACCAATTAAATCCTGCCGATTTTGTCAACTTTGAATTTTCCAATATTTGCTTTATGCTGACCTCAGCTATTTAAAATTGCCTTATCTGAATAAAATAGTTAATGATGAGGAAATACTGATACAGCAATGACACAAAACCTCGGTTAACCGACCATGTGTGTTTTAAGATGACATTTTCTCGAAGAAAGTAAATCTTCCGCTTCCTTTATTTCTCTCATTTCTTATTCCTTACTTTTACATCGTAAAATTGAATGCGACAGAAACAGTCGCAATGTATAAATATTAAATTGAATAAGTAATAAGTAATCGATTATTTAAATATATGTCATCTTGCTTCTACATAGAAATTCTAAAAAAATAACAGAGTATATCGGTGTATATTGCATAAGACCATCATCACGGATTACGACTAATTATGGCAATAGTGATTAATATCCTGCGTAAGCCTCACCTGAATATGAGTATGTATGGATTCACATTAGATGACTTATTATTACTCTTGAATATTTAGTAAAAAGAAATCTGCCGAGAAAACTAACGATTAACATGATTAAAATAAGCAGAATTTTTTTACTATTTGTTACATAAATTTAACCAACTACCTGTTGCATCACCCGTATCATTGTCCGATAAATAATTTTTTGCGAAAACAAACTTTACAATCCTTTCAAATTTATTTATTTTAATGCCACGTTGTTTCATTTTCTCTTGTAACTGTCATTTTATTTTCTGTGTCATTGCCGATTATTTGATATTTTATTTCAGCATTAAAATCAATTTTCAATTTGCATACGTTGCAAATCGGCGATTCGTCACGCGCTCATAAACTATCGTTCGCTTTTATAGAATAGATATCATAGATCACGTTTAAGAATTCAGTGCATAAATCGACATCGTGAGAAAGATATTTACGAAAGATATTACCGAATTATCGGCTCGCTCATTCGACAAGCGAGCAATTCTGAGAGAATCTCGATTGTATCTCTATTACTAAATATATTTTGATGAATCAGCTTGTTTACCCGCAACAATGTGACAGAAATTAAATGCATATTTACCACCGATATATCTTGTTTCGTAACAAAATATTGTCGACGTAACAACTGTGCGAGTGACATTTCGACAACCTTTTTATATTTTATTAATAATAAAAAATCACGATTAAGTTGGAAAAAACCATTTTGTTCGAAAATATCCACTCATCGAGTAAACAAATCAGATAATTGAACATTACTTTAAAAATTAATTAAAGTGCGAAAAGATTACTCCGTCGCTTTACTTAGAGAAAATTATTACGATAAAGTTATCAAAAACTAAATGGTTAATGATATATTTTACATTTTACATTAGAATAAATTAGTATTACCATATTCTCAAGGATTATTTTTCAAAATAAAGTCATGTTCCGCTAAACAAATGCACAGTTGATCGAAACAGTTATAAAAAAAGTAATACGTACACATAAAAATTATCAAGTTGCACAGTGCATTCGGTAAATAATTTAAAACAAAGTTTGTATGAATCTCTACTCATGACATTCCCTAATCACATTTTAATTATGCATATATATATTTAGAAAGCCGCTTAAATTATATCTCATTTTGATGCACCTCAAGATGCATATCTCGATCCGCCGCTATTCCAGCGGATCGCAAGTGCGCTATGTTGCATTGCGTGCACCACTTTCTCTCTTACCCGTTAAAAACGGCTGGTGAAAGCGTGCTGTATTAGGAAGGGACCAACTGCAATTCACTGCAACAATTTGCGTGCTGTTCGAGTAGCTGCGAAAAAGTTCTCAGCCGGCAAAGCGCAAGCAGCAAGCTCGCCGTAGAGTGCGCGCCGCATCAGCGACGCGCATCGTCGCAGTTGCAATTGCCACGATGCACCGCGTTCCTTCGCGCCGATCGTTCTGTCACTCGGGCAGTCGTTAATCCTTCGAGAGATATTAAAAATCTATCGAGTAATTAAATCAAGAACTAGAACGAGAAGAGTCCACTTGGCGATGCTCGAGAATCAAGTAACGCGCGAATCGTTCGCGCAAATGGCAGAACGATCGCGAATATTCAAAATATCCGCTTTCACACTCGCGGACGCAATTGCCGACACGCTTTACAGACGCGACGATCGTTCGCTAAATCCGCAATCTATTTCTTTTTTATTTTACGCAATTGCAAGAAAAACAGGTGAGAGAAGTTGCCCGACAAAAAAAATACACTGCACTGCACTATGGTAGCAGTCAATTGCATATGCGAGCGCACTAGTTCGCAAGAAACTGACGAACGAACGGACAGCGCGGAGAGACGTACAGAGGCAACAGATCCACGCCGAGTGCAACGTGACTACCGATTCGCGGCCTATCCAATTGGCCACGCGAGTCACGTGTTGCCGCTGTCACGTTGCAGATACCGTGGCCGTCGAGAATGCACCTCTCACTCCCGCTAGCGAGCGAGCGCTTTTCTCCGTCGGTTTACTTATAGCGTTTTCGATTATACGGATTTTGATCGACCCAAGGTTGATCAATCACTATTTTTACCATGAATTTATGTCCCTTATTGATGGAGACGATGCAATGACGTCATCAATCAATCTTGGGTGGATCAAAATCCGTATAATCGAAGACGCTATTAGAAAATTACTACGATAAAATTATTAAAAAACTGAATGGTTAATGGTATATTTTACATTTTACATTAAAATAAATTAGTGTTATCATATTCTCAAGGATTGTTTTTCAAAATAAAGTCATGTTGCGCTAAACAAATGCACAGTTGATTGAAACAGCTTTAAAAAAAGTAATAAAAAATATGACTCCTAAAAATAATCCAATACCGTATTTTGGTAGTATTCTAAATCTCAACTTTCTTAGTAATATTTAAATTAAAAAATTGTAAACAAAAATATAGAAGAGTTGTTCTAATTAATCAAAATAAACAGCAATTTTGATTTTATAATAATAATTTTATTATATTAAAATAGATTAATGTAATGAATGAAATGTGACACACTTGAAATATTTTTAATCAATTTATTTTTATTTATTTAATTGCATTTTGTTTCAACATCTAGCTTTAATTTGTAAACACTTTTAGCTTATATAATGGGTAAAAAATTGTATCTAGTGGAAGCGGAACTCCATGCAGAACTTTATAATTCTCTATAATTAACTTTGCGCTCATCTAATCTCTCGCAAAAATGCGCGAAATGTGTCGTATAGAGTTGCAAAGTATGTATGTACCTATAAATCTCTCAACATAACACTTAATTTGTAACAATTTGATTACAATATGATAATACAACTTAAAATTGACAATAGACAGTTGCGATATCACAAGCGAATCTTGTCAAACATAGAAAATATCTCTCTTATCACTCTATATGATTATTTACTACAATCTAGCTTTTCGATGATATCGGTATCTGCATAGTATTCCATAATCGTTTAATAGCGTTTTTTAAAACCTCATTAAAGTCAAAAATTTTAATGTAAAACAATTTTCGAGTTATAAGCGATCAAAAGTTAATTAATGATATGGTAGTTTCCGCGCTTAGATCCGCACATGCGCATTCATCTGTCATCTGTTATTGATTTTTCCAGCTCAAGTGATATTTATTTTTGCTGCTCAATTAATTCTTTCTTTTAATTTGTAATGTATATTACATATAGTACAATAATCAACTGATAATGACAAGTTGTTACAAATTTTGATAAAACCAAATTGTGTGATTTTAAAAGTTAAAAAAATAAAATAAAGTTTCTATATTTTCAACAATAATTTTATCTTGTTTTTATGATTTATTAGAATTACATTTTTGTTCTATTAAAACTTCGATGTTTTTTTTATATAAAAAATTTTAAAAAATATTTACATTAATAAATTAAATATTCTTCTGATAAAAAAAGAAATTTTATTCTTCAAATAAATATTAGATTGTTCTTCTTAAATGTAGTAAATAATCAATCATACAAAATAAATATCATCTGAGCTGGGAAAATCAATAATAGATGACAGATTGAAACGCATGCGTGAGCTGAGCTCGCAAACTGTAAGCGGTACCATTGTTGATCGTTTATAACTCAAAAACTATTGCAACTAGAACACATTATGCATGTTTATCACATGACGATTTTCGACTTTCCCAAACTTGGCTCTTTCCAAAGCAAGCTAGAAAAAAAAAACTAGAATCCAATCAGTTTAGAAGTTTTTGTTGAAAAACCTGTAATGTTGTCGCTCTTTTTCGTAACCACTGGAAGATACTAGGGCAAGCTTGTCTAGAGAATTTTTTTTATTCGCTATTTGCACTACTGCACATATGACGGATTTACACCAGAATCCATCCTCTGTTATCTATGGGTGTTTACGATAATTCAAGTTCGAGTTATATAGCGTTTTCGATTATACAGGATTTGAACGACCCAGGGTTGGTTAATGACGTCATTGCAACCTCTCCACCAATGAAAGACTTGCATTTATAGTAAAATAGTGATTGATCAACCCTGGGTCGTTCAAATCCTGTAT